TAGTCATGGTCTGCCTGGTGCCGAGCATGGCTCTGGTGTCTGTAGACCTTGGGGGCCCTCACCTGTCCTAGGGCAAGGTCTGCACATCGCCTCCAGCTCTGGTCATGCCATGCGTTGCCCCAACCTTGCCCATGAAGCCACGAGCATCCCCTGCATCCCCAAAGCGAAGCCTGTGACTGGCGGGGCTGCCTGGTCCTGGCACGTTACCTCCCCTCTGTCTGCTGAGGAAGGGGCTCTAGCCAAAGCCCCCTGCTACCCGCGGCTCCTGTGCTGATGGTGAATATCAGTGGGGCCCACCAAGAACATGCAGTCTGCATGTCCCTCGTGAGGCAAGCATCCTGATTGTAGCCTCGGGGTCCTGGCTCCCTCCTGGCTCCTGCTCAGTCGGTGGGGTGCCATCTGGGTGTGCTCCTGGCCTTGAGCCCCTCCCATGGCTGCCGCCTTGAGAACCTGCCCTCTCCCAAGGCCCACCGAGCCCAAGGCCTATGTAGAAGCTTCCTCCTCTCCCTCTCTCCACCCAGCAGGGTCTGGGCCGGCCGCTGCGTTATGTGAGCAGCAGCCGGACACGAGGCCGGGCCCTCGTGGAAGGCCCTTGGGCCGCACATCCTGCTCTCTGCACTTTGTCCTGTTTCCTGCAATTCAGTTGGAAGGGTGTCCGTGCCACTAACCCGGAGTTAAACTTCATTGTAAATTGTTAAAAAGAATTCGTTTGCTTTGGGAGGGATGATCAAGGACAGCCCTCGCCTTTGCTAGGTATTGTAGCGTTAAGAAAATAAATGAGCTATTTTGAGCAAAAAGGCTTTTTTTCTTGGTGAGTGGGAATAATAGCGTTGATGTTTACTTAAAGGAAGCCAAGGGCCAGAGAGGGGCCACTTCCCTGGCCTCATGCTCATCAAAGGTGACTCCTGCTTTCGAGTCCTGCTGGGCTCAGGATGCCACAGGAAGGTCAGACAAAAGTGAGACCTGGGGAATTTACATTTCATCTGGAGAGAAGAAAATAAGAGTCATTGAGATGACTTAGCCTGAGCCAGCAGTGGTAGCAGAAGATTGTTTAAGATCCTATGGTGCAAAGGATATACAGAAGTTGGGGGAGGGCAATGCCTAGCGTTTGGGGGGGCATTATTAATGGAGGGCTTCCAAGGACATCCGAGCAGGTGTGGGGGGACCCCACAATGGAGCCACCCCCCACCCAGCATGATGACCTCGAGGCCTTGAGGTCCGAGCCTCAGGCCCCTGTCCCCTTCCATGTCTGGCTTTGCCTGGCCCCTGCCACTTGAACAGCCTCTCTCCCGCAGCTCTGGGCTCCCAGGCCTGGGCCTCTTCCCTCCTGCAGCCCAGGCTGCTGTCCTTCAGACGCCTCACCCTCCTCAGAGCCAGGCTCACGTGGCCTCTGGCTGCTGGGCAAAGCTGTTCCTGAAGGTGTAGGGGAGCGCGCTTGAGGCCCTCTTCAGGGATGCGAAGACTAGACAGAGCAGCCTGACTTTTATAGGGCACCGGCCGAAGACTGAGTCTGCACTTGGTGCAGTGGCGAGCCAGGAGCTGCTCGACTGTGAAGCAGACTAAGTCGAGAAAGGCGTGCCACAGGACCACACGCCGCGTGACCCCGAGCAGGAGGGTGGCCACCGGGTGTCAAGGAGGGCCCGAGCAGGACGGTGGCAAGGAAGAGCAGAGGAGGGACCCAAGGAACTTGAGGGAAGGTTTTGGACGAAGTGACGGGCCAGTCAGGGAGCCTCTCGGCAGCCAGACACGTGCTGTGTGACCTTGGGCGGGCGCCTAACCTCTGCTGTCCTCCTTCTTTATCTGTAAAATAAATAGCACCTATCTCCGTGGGTTGTTACAAGTGTTCCATTAAATATTTGCAAAGTGGTTGGCCCCGGTGCGGAGTAGGCAGTTTACTTGATTTTTTTTTTCTTATTAAAGATCAGCGGGGGCAGCAGCGGAGGAGAGGAAGGGGCCGAGAGGGGCCGCTGCTGGGCCTCAGGGCCTGGAAGGCGATGCTGGCTGAGTGCGGGGACTGGGAGGAAGTGACCTCTGTGTTGAAAAGTGTGACGTGGTTAGTGTTTGAGACTCTTTGCTCCTTCCAGGCTGCCAGCTGCGGGGAGTAACAGCTCGTCCAGTAGAGGAGGCAAGTTGGTTGCAGAAGTGGCATGAGCGGAGCAAAGAAGAAGCAGGGCGCTGGCTGTGCCTCCCACCCTGGCTATGCACCGGGTCATGGAGGGGCACCCTGCTGCCCTCAGAACACCCCCCCACCGAGTATTCTGACGATGCTCGGGACTGTACCCCAGGCCAGACAGGGCCAGCAAGCAGGACTGGCCAGGAGCCTGGAGGGACTTGGGACACAGCGGAAGGAGAGCGTGGCCAGAAGGGCAGAAGCACCCCTGACCCTAGGCTTCCTGGCCCCCAGGGCCCCCAGCTGAGCCCCGAGAGCCACAGGGGGTGGCAGCTGCAGGTGACAGGCTGGACAGACTTCCGGAGCAGGGGCCAGGCTCTCACGGACAGCAGCTTTCCCCTGAGGCTCTGGAGAACTACCTTGCAAGTGCAGAGATCTCACGCGGCAGTGGGGAGGGAGCCTGGGTGCCACAGGGCCTGGCCCCGCCTTGAGTGTCTGTGGCCTTGGGCCTCCCCACAGCCCTGTGTCATGGGCCTGGGGCACGCGCAGAGACATCCTTGCTGCTCCAAGTCACATGCTGGGAAACAGCAGTACGTGGCTTTGACCGGAAAACCCACATTGTTGACCGCCCGCCCCTAGCTCCTTGACCTCCGAGGGGCTGCGGAGGTTGGAAAGGAAGAACATACCAGATGGAGAACCGGGGCCCCAGTTAGTTTGCCAACAAGGGGCTGCCGCTGTCCCTCATCTTCCTTGGGACTTCTGACTCCCCGCCAGCGGGGAAATGCCTGGGGCCTTCAGTGTGACTGGACACCACAGGGCATCCTGCTTGCTGGCTCTGGAGGTCTCTGCTGGGAGAGAGGACTTCCAGGGGGCTTGTGGAGCAGAAGAGGCTCAAGGATTGCCCTGCAGGAGCCCAGCAGACCTGGTTTCCATCCAAAAGGTGTCAAGGCAACGACCCCAGACTGGACATAGCCAGGCCTGCGCCCTGGCCATCAGTGCTCCTCCCTGCCCCAGTTTCTACCCCAGGACCAAAATGGGCCTTGCTTTCTCCACAGGTCTGGGCTTTGGCATCTCTGAGCTTGGCCTCTGCCCGGGGCTGTCCCCAGCTGATAGGCCTTTCAGAAAGGCTTGAGGATGGACCTGACACTAGAGCTTTTTAGTTCTAACTTCTCTGTGTTTCTGTTCCCTCACACCCTTAAAAGGAGAAGAGCCCGTGTTCTGTGTCAGGGACAGTGACAAAGGAGACTGCTGGATGGGGCTGGTGTAGTCCTGCACTTGAGGCCCAGGGGCCGGGAGCACAGCCCCAGATGCGGCCCCACGTGAGAAATAACCCCAGTCCCGCCCCGTGGGGCACTTGGCCTTCCCCAGACAGGCGCAGGGAGTTGATGAGGACCCAGGACACAGAGCCCACCCCAGCCCAGCGAGACTGAATCTGAAGGACCTGGGTTTGCAGCCCGGGAGCTAGTTCTGCTGAGGCCCAGGGGTACAGTGCTACCCCTCTGTGAAGGGATGCTGTCACCACTGGCTGGCTGATGTCCTGCCCTCCTTTGGGGTCACTCTTGGACACCCAATCTGCCTGAGTCACCCCCAAGCCCAGGTCAGCATGAACACACACACGCCCGACACCCAGCCCATCCCAGTTCCCAGGGAGTTGCTTTTCTCCTTTTACAGGGGAAGGGATTCAGTAGAACCCGCTGAAGTAATCCACTCCGGAGCACACTAGCATTTCACCTAGAGCATTTTGAACAGAGTTGAGTGTTAACTGATTAGTGAGGGGCCAATTATTGGAGGGAGGGGTGCACTTTCCCTGACCCTCCTAGTGTTCACTGCAGAAATGGTAGGCTGGGCCTGGATTGGGAGGTGGCACAAGTTACTGACTATTTTTATTTCCTCCGTCTACCAAAAACTTCCAATGGTAAGACCTTGAATCAAGTTTTTGTTTTCCCAAGGTCCTTTTCACTAGCATTGATCTAACACCCCTGCTCCACAGCGCCAGGAGGCAGCGGGGTTCACCTCAGCCCCCCAGATGGAGTGGACCAGCTTTCTAAATTCATAGCGCATTGTTTGTTTCCTCTGTTTTGCCCCAGACTGGGGAATGCCTCCCCGGAGGGGGGCTGGCTGACCCCTGGGGCCCAGCCCAGCACCACGATCATGCTGCATGAAAGATGCGTCTTCAGATATTAATAATTAATGATAATGTTAATTTATCATAGCTTCACGTAACATTCTATAATGGAAACCGCCCCAGGGGAGAGAACAAGAGGTTGAGGAGCAGAGACTAAAGAAGTGGGGAGCACGTGAGGGGTGGGGTAGGAAGGACATCCCTTCAAGCTGGGGAAGATTCGCGGTCAGCATAGGCAGTTTCACAGTCCAGAGTGTGTGTGTGTGTGTGTGTGTGTGTGTGTGTGAGAGAGAGAGCGTGTGCACCCACAACAGTGGAATACGTGGGAGCAGCACCTGGCCTTTTTGGAAGTTGTACCCCAAAGGTTTACCCCTTAAAGGGCGCCTCTGTGTCCTGCTGACGAGCCATCTCTGCCGGACCCCCACCCGAGACTCAAAGTGGGGCTGGCGAAGGCCCAGAACGTCTCCACGTTCCAGAGGAACTGGGGGGGGGCGCCCCAGGAAAAGGTGGGCCCTGGCACCATAAGCTATCTCTGCCGGACCCCCACCCGAGACTCAAAGTGGGGCTGGCGAAGGCCCGGAACGTCTCCACGTTCCAGAGGAACTGGGGGGGGGGCGCCCCAGGAAAAGGTGGGCCCTGGCATCATAAGCAGGACCTTTTTGCTTTCCGGCTGGGTTTGGTGCCTTGCAGGCCGCGGGGCCGGGTTCCCGGGACGCCTACGCCTGACGGGGAGGCTTTGCTCATGAGTTGTTCTCATTCTCATTCCAGGTGTGTGTGGCTGCTGTGGCGCCCTACGCCCCAGGTACAAAAGGCTGGTCGACAACATCTTCCCCGAGGATCCCGAGGTGGGTCTCGCCCCGCCGCATTGCGCCTCTCCACGCCAGGCCCTGAGCGCCACGTGGGGAAGCGGGCCTCTGCCAGACCAAACCCTGGGCAGTGGCGTGAGGCTGTTGGGGGCCTGCAGGCTGAGACGCGGAGCTCTGAAGTCAGGGTCTGCAGAGGCTCCGGACGTTTGTTTCGGCAAGCGTTTAGCCCTCGCCGGAGGCCGGCATCCTCACTCACACTTCTGGTGACAGCTCTGTCATCTGCTGACTCCTTGATGATAATAGTTCCCTGCTTTTACTGGGGGCACTTTCTGGCTCAGGAGACCGTGTCTTCTCCACGGCTCCCTCCGGTACCTGCTGGGCACCTACTGCCCAGGCAGGAGGCCCCCCTCTTGTTTCCAAGCTGACCCTGCACCCTCGGGCCACACCGCAGGTGTGTGACTTGAGGTGGCGGGACAGAACAGAAATGTCAGGACTTGACTTGCTCTCTGCGAGTCAATGAGGGGCAGCTGGAAGGCTCATCTCTCCAGCAGTCTCTGGAGAATTCCCTGAGAGCTGCACAGCTGCCTTCTTCCTGTTTATGTCTTCATGTTCGCTATCCAGCCCGTTTTAGTTGAGTCACTTCCCATGAAGCCTTGTCGTTCACTCACACACGCGTGCATACACGCACACACGCTCACACATGTCGATCCATAGTCACATGTACACACAGGTGTGTATGCCTTCCCCCCCCCACACACACACACGTACACGCACGACTTATATTTATAGCTCGTGCACGTGCATCAGTGTCCAGAGGAGCCCCCTTCTCTGATGGGTGAAGCTTTGGGCTCACAACTGTGCCCACAAACCTCACTGCTATGTGTGCACACGCCTGCAAGGCAAGAGCTGTGCTTTAATCATCGCTGTACCCCTGAAACCCACATGTTGTCTGACACATACTTAATAGGCACCCTGCTAAATGGGGATTCAGTGGATTGTTTACCCTTAGACTCAGTCACCCAGCCACCTGTGGCAGTGAGGTGACCTGCCTGTCTTTCACAGGATGGCCTGGTGAAGACCAACATGGAGAAGCTGACCTTCTACGCCCTGTCAGCTCCTGAAAAGCTAGACCGGATCGGAGCCTATCTCTCCGAGAGGCTCATCCGTGACGTGGGTCGTCATCGCTATGGGTGAGTCGTGCAGGGAAGGGGGAGACCCCTCAGACACTGCTGTTAGTTAGGGCCAAACTTCAGGGTCTTTTAAGAAAGTGATACTAGACTGGACTTCTGCTCAGCCCGAGAAATGGGGCCTGGGGTTGGGCCTGGGCTCCCCTGTGCTCTTCTAATAATGGTGAAATCGAATGTTGCTGCCAATATTTGGGAAGAGGGGGATGCTGGCTTCTCAGGAGCACTTTTTTAGTATTCATGTACCCCAGTATCTCTGTCCAGAAGCCCCAGACACAGTCTGGGTCTTGGAAAGTCACTTTTGCCCAGAAGGTACCATTATCCTCATCAAACCAATCCCACTTGTTCAATTTGCTACCTGGAAAAGAAGGGACTGTCTACAGGCCAGTGCGAAGGCTGGAGTCTAGGGAAACTTGTCCTCTAAAAAGACACCTAAGTGGCCCTCCTGGGGTGCAGCGGGTTGAACCACAGCACTGTGAAGGCATTCGCAGCTACTGCAGCACAAGTTCGATCCCCGGCCAGGGAGCTGACCCACGTGGCGCGGCAGACCTCTCCTGTCCTGCCCACTGCTCGCCTCAGCAGTGTATTTCAGTCCTTCTACTCCCCACTCTATCTGTGGTGAATCCTCTCACCGTCCGCACCACCTCTGACCTGTGCCCCAGTTCTTGTAGCATAAATAAATCTTAAAAAAAAAAAAAAGACAGTTAAGTGGGGCCTCCCTGATGGTACAAGGGGTTAACGCGCAGCACTGTGAAGCTGTCTGCAGCCACTGCAGCTGTCTGCAGCTCCCAGCCAGGGGGCCCCTCCCCTGACCCGCCCGCTGCCCCCCTCAGCAGTGTATTTCAGTCAGTCCACCTGCTCTGCTCCCCGCTCTATCTCTGGGGAATCCTCTCGCACCTGCACCTCTGGCCTGCACCCCAGCTCTTGTATGCATAAATAAATCTTTTTAAAAAAGACGTTTAAGTAAAATATTGATCAGTCTTAAAGGGAGGAATTTGTTATGCTTAGATCTTAAAAATCTTAAAGGAGAATGACTACTCAATAGATTAAACTGTCCTGTGCACGCCTCCCTCCCCAGTTTTGACCCCATCCCCCTCTCCACCCCCGTAAAATGTCTCAAGTTAATAGTCTTTCATGGGGTTTTTTTTTGTTTTGTTTTTACTTTTGCATTTGCCTTTTCCCCCGATCCCTTATGCTCCTGCTATGAGTGAAACCATCTGGCATTTTTTTCTTTCTGGCTTTTTTATCTCACTAAGCATGATCCTTTCCAGCTCCATCCATGTGGCTACCTCAAAAGGTTCAAGTTCATTACAGCCCTTCCATCCTGAGTACTGGGCTCAGATTTAGGGAATGAAGGACATTATAGTCAAAGAACAAGGCCTTCACCTTTACTCTGCAGGTTCGTTTCTACCATAATTTTCACTATCATCATAATTTCCATTGGTCGGTAGCCAATTTTTTGAAACAGAGGATGGTCTTTCCTTATCAGAATTTTCTGGGAATTCTGTTTTACAGGAAAAGGAAAAGCAGCCATCTAAGCACAAGGGTTTAGGAGGCCTTGGAGTTTATTCTGTGGCCAAGCCCCGCCCTCCCTTTCCCCCCATTGAACTCCGCCACATAATGGTGAGATGCCTCTGGTCCCCATCATCCAGGCGGAGACTGGAATAATACGTAACAGAAGGGAATTCCCACTGCCTTCCCCCTCCCCACCCACCGTGTCTGCTGGCTGGCTCGAGTCTGGGTTTCTCTGCAGGGAGGCCTGACCCCTTCAGAGGGGCTGTCACAGGCTGTTTTCCCAGACTGGCAGGATTTAGCCTGCGCTCTGGCTGCACGGGCCCAGCCGTGCCCCTGACCTGTGACAGCGACAGTCTTGAGAATAAGGCCATAGCGAGCCAACCCACCCAGCACCATGCAGCAAAAGAGCTCGATACCACAATGCTGCCTTTGTATTTGAAAGATGCTCTAGCGAAGAGCGTGACCTGATGCATTTCCTAGTGCACCCAAGGGTGACTGTTTCATAATATTTGAGTTCAGCTTAATGATGGCTGACCTGGCTGCTATGGATAAAAAAAAAAAAAAAATACACATTTTATGAAAGTTTCAGAGAAGAGAAGAGAAGCCATTTTTGCTCATACAGAAGTTAACTAACTCAAGGTTAGCTTTGGGGAAAAAAGGACATTTCAAAGGTGCTTTACTTTGGGGTTTGCAAAGCTGGTTCGTGAGCAAGTCACGTTGGACATAGACTCTGAGACTGGGCTGCTCCCACAAGCAGTGGGGAGCCTGCTGTGGTGGCCTTGTGGTACCCTAGAACGTGCCCTGCAGCCCTGCCTCTGGGGCTTTTTTTTTTTTTAAGATTTATTTACTTGTGCTTACAGAACTGGGGTACAGGACAGAGGTGTGGTGGGTGAGAGGCTTCACCAGAGACAGAGTGGGGAGCAGAACAGGCAGATCGACTGAAACTCACTGCTGAGGGGAGCAGCGGGTGGGTCAGGAGAGGTCTGCCAGCCATGTGGGTCAGCTCCCTGGCTGGGATCAAACCCGTGCTGCAGCGGCTTCGGAGAGCTTCATAATGCGGAGCTTTAACCCGTTGTGCCACCAGGGAGGGCCCCTCCTGTGCTTTTTAACTAAATTCTGTTTCTAACACAGACAGACTAGCTAGCTGTGCATTTAAATAGCTGCCCAACATTCACAGGTGTGTATGATTTGGACCAAGACCTAAAAAGAAGAAACCTTTTAGTTCATCCTCCGTGCCTGTGGCCCGGGACCCTGGCTCCAGAGCACCGGTGACTTCGCCACGCTAAGGCCCCCGGTGACAGCCTCCCCACCAGCTCAGCGCTTTTGGCTTAGCGAAGCATTAGCCTGACTCCTTCGCTCCCCAGCTATGGCTGGGAGTTCTCTGCCCACTTCGCTCCCCTGCATTTCGTGCGTGTGTCGGGTACTTTTCCATCCACGTGGTCTGGCTTTACAAGTGGAAGCCTCGCCAGCCAGTAATGGGTACTTAAGCCCACACTCTGGGTCCGTGCCACCATCCAGCCTCCTGCTGGCCTTCTCGCTAGCAGGGCAGACTCGTTTTCAACTCTTATTTCTGCTCTTTTCCTCTGAGGTCGGTCACTTGATTTGTTTCGGATTCACTTTTATTTGCACCAGCAGGTTGCTAAGGCACTCCTAACCTTAAGCATTGAGTATCCATGTTATTTAGGGCACAAAGTAGCTCCCCTAGTGCATTGTAGCCGCATAATCAGAGGTGGCTTTTCTCTCTCTACCCCCCCAGGGGCTCTGTCTCTGTGTGTCCAGCTGTTGCTACTTCCCAGCCAGTGGGAAGAGGGAGAGAGAGGACGTGGAATGGAAGGCCACCCTGTCTTTAAGCAAGTGGCGCTGAGCCCTTTCCCAATTTTTTTTTAAGATTTATTTGTGCATACAGAACTGGGTACAGGCCAGAGGTGCAGGGGCAGTGAGAGGATTCACCAGAGACAGAGTGGGGAGCAGAACAGGCCGACTAAGTACACTGCTGAGGGGAGCAGCGGGCGAGACAGGAGAGGTCTGCTGCGCCATGCGGGTCACCTCCAGGGCGGGATCGAACTCATGTGGAAGTGGCTTTAGCATCTCAGTGCTGTGCTTTAACCTGCTGCGCCACCAGGGAGGGCTCACCCCTACCCCCACCCCCTCTTCTTCCCATTTTAATGCAGTAAAGGCCTGGGACCTCACAATCTCAAATCCTAAGTACTAGTAGAAAGGAGGAAATCAATTCTAGGGTGTCAAGTTAGCATTGTGCTTCAGGAACCTTGGACTCCTGAGGGAAAAGTCTAAAGATTTTAATCAGGATAATTGTGGACAGACTTGCAGCGACAGGATGTGTCTTCTAGGAGGTGCCTTACCTGACCGTGACGTCCTCACGGAGCAAGCGCGGTTTCATCTCTGCCGTGCAGCCCTGCTTCTCAGTAGGAATGTGAGTCCTGGCGTTCTTCTTGGGCGTTGAGAGAGGCTTGAGGAAGACCAACACCAGTTGTGCAGGCTGGTTTGGGGGAGAAATGGACAGTTCTTTAGCATAGAGAAGAGCAAAAAAAATGAGATTGCTGTTTTCAGAAGTTGAAGAACTAGCAAGTAGGGAATGTTTAGGCATCTTTTTTGCTGTTCCTGAAATTTGACTTGTGAATAAAGGACAGAAATTGCTAGGGTTTCGCTGGAAATATAAAGGAGTTTTTATTTAGTTGCCAAAAATGGGATGGACTGATTTAACTAGTAAGCAATTCACTGGATGTCGTGTATTCCTAGTTTCCAAAATTATTCACTCAGTTTTTAGACTTTGGTAGAGTTAAGTCATTTAGGAGCTTAGAGCTAACATCGACCACCTTCATCAGGAGAAAAACGTTGTTCTGTGTCCATCTATTTTCTCCACGAGATACATGTGCTCACTAGGTGGGGCCCCCAACCCCAACTTGGCAATCCTGTCAACCGCCTTGTTTGCAAACTACTTCGTCAGAGAACTTCTGACGTCTTCAAATAGAAAATGTGCAGATTTTTTTTTTTTAAAGATTTATTTATTTTTTTGTCCATACAGAACTGGCCAGAGGCTCAGGGGTAGCGAGAGGCTTCACCAGAAACACAGTGGGGAGCAGAACAGGCAGATCGACACAGTACACTGCTGAGGGGAGCAGCAGGCGGGTCAGGAGAGGTCTGCCGCGCCATGTGGTCACCTCCGGGGCAGGTGGGAATTGAACTCATGCGGAAGCGGCTTTAGCGTCTCAGTGCTGGGCCACCAGGGAGGGCCGAAAATATGCAGATTTTATATTCCTTAACCGTGAGCTGGCTGGTCCTCGAGCCATCCAGACTCTTCCTAAGCTTTCTCCCTAAAGTTCCTCCTCACTACAGCCACCTCCCTCCTTCTTGGGAAGCCTTGTGGGGCATCACGCACGATTTTGTTTCCCTTTTGGAGGAGATAACATGGCTTCATCTGGCCCATTGGACTGTCGGCTCCTTCACTTGAGGGGCCTCTTCACCGGCACATGAGCCCTTGAGCTGAGAAATTCTCTGATCTCATTGGGTTTGGGTTCAGACTCCTTTGGGCCTGCTCGAAAATGGTGTCCCACACCTGTCCTTGGGCTTTTCATCCCCAAGAGGAGTCGATGAGTTGGTCGCCAGGCTCACGTCCAGCAATCATTCCCTCTGACTCATGCTGGACTGGAGCGGCCACTGTAGGCATAGCTGTCCAGACAGTGGCTACTGATGGAGCAGCCGCCTTGCCTGTCTGCTGTCCAGGCGACGCTGCACTGCCCACTAGAGATGTCCAGTTTCGCGGTGGGGTGGGCGGCCACGCGGCTGAGTGACGGTGGTGCTGCCCCCCCAGGTACGTGTGCATCGCCATGGAGGCCCTGGACCAGCTGCTCATGGCCTGCCATTGCCAGAGCATCAACCTCTTCGTGGAGAGCTTCCTCAAGATGGTGGCCAAGCTGCTGGAGTCCGAGAAGCCCAACCTGCAGATCCTCGGCACCAACTCGGTAAGGCGCTGCCCGAGGGGCTCTGGAGGTGCGAGCGGGGTGGAGGGCGGAGCTCGGGGCAGCGTGGTGAGGGTCCACTCCTACTTGGTTCCTGACAGCTTCCCTCTTGCTTAGGTCTTCTCTGTGCGAAGAAGGGAACATTTTATATAGATATATAGCTTATCTATCATGATTTTATATGTATAATGAATAAAATAATCGAAAAGTAAAATGACCAAATTTACAATTCAGTGGTTTTAGAAGATTTGCAAGGTTGTACAGCCATTACCATTACCTGACCTATGCGTCTGTAGATTGATGCTCATCAGAAATGCTTTAGTATTACATTTTCCCCTTGAATAATTCTAAGGGAGACCCTAATTGATACATAGATGGAAAGGGAGGCATTCTTCTGAGAGTGGGGGGTGCCCAGAACCCACACAGCTTGAGCCTCCCATGCTTTGAATGCTGGTCCAGGTTACGCCTCTTTCAAAGATAAAACAAAGCAAGGCACACAGGGCAGCAGCCCAGACACATGGAAAGGCCCCGGGGACGCAGGAGACGCGCTCTGGCTTGGCTTTGCCCTCTCGCTGGCTGTCTCCTCGGCCGGCGGCTGCCGTCTTCTGCTGATGCCAGAGCACACTGAATGGGGTCCAAGCTCGGAACGCTGGTTCAGAGCCACTGCAGCTCCCGTGAGAGGTTATGGTTCTGTGAGCAAAGAGCCATCTGCCGTGTCAAGCGCTCGCAGCTTCATCTGTGTCTACAGAAATGTGACTCTCCTGGTGGTTCTCTTGTGTTTTGCCCTCTCTCCTAGTCCCGTCCCATCGCCCACGCTTTCCAATTTCTTCAAGTGGTCTGGTGTTAAAAGCCCTGGCGAGCTGTCACAAAATGCCCCTTTTCATCCCCTTTTCCCGTCACTGTCCTCCCCACTCCCAACCTGGCTTTGCTGAGTTTGTGTTGCTCGGGTCACAGCTGCTGTCCTGCCCTACATGATTTGATTTAGCCAGAAGATAGTCTTTCAACTTTAATTGCAAGGACCCAAGCGAACAACTTATTCCCCTCTCTTTCCTCTCTGCGAGCCAGCTGCCTTTGATAAATTACATGTACAGCAACCGAGGGTGAAGTCTTTTGTCAGGTTGCCCTGGCAACAGCTTCAGCTACAGTTCCTCTTGTCCCCTTTAAGATAACTATAGCGCAGAAGAGAACCCCCCAGTGGAAAATAAACTAGTCAGCTGCGTCCAGAGGGTGTCTCCCCGACAAGCAGGTGGCTGCCAGCTCTAACTTTCCCCTTCCGTAGCAAACCCTGGCCCAGGGCTGATGTTGTGTTAGCTACGTGTACCCTGACTCCAGATCCTCCAAGCTCTGGAGTCCTCATCACCGCGAATGGTCTCAGCACCGAGCGGATCTCACCTAGTGCTGGCCGGCTGCACCACCCAGCGAAGGTGATCGAAGGACGGGTGCTCACGCGGGAGCTGCCCGAGGAGCCGCACGGGCTCAGAGTCCGCCCTCGAGGCTGCCTGTCCGAGAGGCTTCGAGGTGGTGCTGTCCCCCACCGCAGACTCCTTCAGCTCCTGAGACCTGGAGCTTCTCGGGTCTTCCCAAGAGGAATGTTCTTTGTCTCCTCTTCATTTCGGACCTGCCAGCAGGCTAGTGCCTGGTGTGATTGTGGGGTGTCTATCCTGGGTGTTTCAAGTGGTTTTCGTGGGGGCTTGAGCCTTGTTGGGGCTGGGGTGGGGTCCGGGCCTGCCTCTCCTGCTTCACCCAGCAGCCAGCTCCATCTTGACGACTTATATGGGAGCTGACATTTTATTTGGTTAGAGGCTTTTGCTGCCAGGATAGTGAAAGAAAGGTAAGGAAGGAGCAAGAAAGAGAGAAAAGGAAAAGAGGCAGTGAGCTTAGCTAACCCTCATTTTGCTGGGTTCTGTGCCTGGAAGTTGAAGCCCAAGTCAGACTGTCTGTATTCGGCAGCTGTACAGCCACGGCCCTGGCTTTCCACAGTGACTTCTTCATCTGTGCCTTGTCTGCTCCCCTAGAAGCTGCGAGGTGGCAAGGTCAGAGGTCCTCACTGGGCCCAAATGTGACTGTGGAGCAGCCTCCCTGCAGCCAGGCCCACTCTGAAAAAGCCCCCTAAGCCAGCCCTCTGCGCTGAAGCAAAACCTCAGAGCTGGATCACAACCCCTTCTGCAGAGCATCTTTTCCGAAACCCTACCTGCTCGGAGGTTCCATACCTGGCCAGGAGCTGAGTCTAGGCCCTGAGAATTTGGAAACCGATTGCTCCCCAGGTGGGTCCAAGCCCTGTCACTGAGCAGCATCTGTGAAGAGCCCACCCAAGGAGCCCACCCAACTGTCTGCTGTGTGACACGAGCACAGGTTTGGCGACTAGGGACCCCTGTCGTCTTAAATCTATGTGGGTTCCTTCCTCCCTCCCACCTCCCCTTCTTTCCTTTCTGTCTCTAATGGATCTTGTATTTGATCATCCCAAAGATGAATGAGGATGTGCTGAGACTTGCCATAAATCCAGTCCCTCTACATCATGCATTATAATTTTAAAAATTCAAGTGATGCCTTCAAACCTTTAATGAGAATATCTGAGCTTTGAATGATAATGAGGGACCAGGAGAAGCAGAACCAGGACCAGTTAAGCGTGGAGGGTTTGGGTTGGAGACAGCGCAGTGACCAGAGGTCCTGACCTCCTGAAGGTCCACACTGGTGGTAAACGGAAAATATTAAATATCCAAGAATGTCAAGTCCTAGTGTAGACAATAAAATCTGAAGATGCACGAATTCAGAGTTTGTACTTTCATTCCTGTCTTATAACACATAAAAAATTAACTCCCTATAGATGCAAAACCTAAATGTGAGACCTAAAACGATCAGGCTCTTAGAAGAAATGGTAAGGGTGTGGCTTTATGATCTTAGCGTTGGCAATGGTTTCTTATCTGTCACCAAAAGCCAAAACAATCAGAGCTCAAAAGAGAGAAATTTGAATTCATCAATATTTAAAACTTCTGGACATCAAAGGACACTATCAAGAAAGTTAAAACAAAAATCACAGGATGATAGAAACTACAAACTGACATAGTCTTACTCGCTACAAAGGGCTGAGTCCTTTCTCCAAAGAAAATATACAGATAGTTGATAAGTACAAGGATCGCTAAGGAACTACAAACCTACTAGAATGGCCATAAATAAAAAAGAAATAAAATGACAAGAGTCGAGGGCGGGCCAGCTTGGACGTAGAAATCAGAACGCCTGTGTGTTGCAAGTGGAATGTAAAGTGATGCTGGCATTGTGGAAAACACAGTGCCTCAAATAAACAGAATTACCAGGTGACTCAGCAGTTCTTCTAGTTATATGCCTAAAAGAAACAGGGACTCAGAAACTCCAGCACACAAATGTTCCCAGCAGAGTTATTCACTGTAACTGGAAACCATCCAGAAGTTCACCTCTCTTAGGACTCCATTCATGAAGGTTCCAGAGTAGACAAAGCCATAAAGACAGAAAGCAGGTTAGTGTTTGTGGGGTACTGAGAGGGGGAAGGAGGCAGAGAGACTGCTGGCTATAGGGTTTCCTTTTGGGGTGAAAATATGGCAAAACATCATGTAGGTATTAAAATGCCACTGAACTCTGCTCTGAAAACTGACTGATGTGTTGTTTTGTGAATTTTCTCAGAATTTAAAAAAAATGCACTCTTGAGTGTTGGGTCAATGTTATTATAGGCATTTGTGTTTTTACGGTACATGACCTAAGTCGAGGACACTCTGAAAGTGAGTCACAGAAGAGCCGCACCCCAGCACTGGGATCCTGGGCAGAGCCTTCTGGGGGAACAGTGAGTGCCAGCCCTGCCTTGCTCTCCACTCCCCCCCAGAAGACCTCTCCTCCCAATGCCTCCTTTCCCAGCTCAGCGCCCATCTGGCTCCCCTTCTGGACCTGGAGGGCAGGTGCCAGCTCTGGCCACCTGGTCCGGCCTCCCAGTCCTGCCACAGCTCAGTCCGCCTTCTCCACCGACGCCCCTGCCTCAGAGAACCCCGAGGCACGGGGCGCTGCACAGAATCCTCGTAGCTCCCTGGAGCTCTCAAAGCAGATGCTCGGTGCAGCTTTACGGACCACCCTCTCTCGTCCTCTGTCTTACAAGCCTCCTGTTTTCTCCTCATCTCTTCCCAAACCTGCTTCTCCAATCTGGGAGGCGGCCTTGCTTCTTGGACCCCGAGAAAATTGGGGTGTCAGGCAGGGTGCCCTCGTTACCCCATCTACCCTCTTCCTCTACAAGTGCCTCGTGTCTTCTGAAGCTTCCTGCATCCATTTTTTTTCTCTCTCCTGTCTCCACCCTTATTCCTTTTCCCTGGTTCCTCCCCTGGAAGTACCATTGTCTTCCAGTATAAAAATAAATAAGCAAAAACACAAAACAAGATAAATACCTTTGGCTTACCTAACAAAAGCCACCACCTTTCCCTGACAGTCCTTTAATATTTAGTGAACTTCAAATTTCTCTATTTCTCTGTCCTTAAATTATCTTTCATGGCTATCTTTCAAATCAGGATTCCAAGAAGATGCTTTTGCTTTGCTTTTTCCCCATTTGTATCTCTTAAACAATCCCAACCTCTTTTTTTTTTTTTCTTTCCAACCTCTATTTTTCTCAACACTGAGTTGTTTGGAAAAGACCAAGTCAGCTACTCTGAGAATGGATTTCTCTGATTTCCCTGTGGGTCATTCATTTCTCTCTCTGCTCTCCTGTGAGCTCCACTCAGGTGGGAAGGTTTGATTGGAACAGGTAACTACCTTCTGGCTGTGACACTTCCCAGGGGGTGCAGGGCCCTGAGCGGCAAGTGGGAGCACGGGGTGCTTGGCCTCCCACTTTTCTGTCTGTGAAGCATGATCCCAGATGAGAGGGTACCAGCTCGTCATGCCATTGTATTAAAAACTTGTGGAAACCCCGCGAATCGCCCATTCCCGTCCATTGACACGGCTGTGTCTTTCTCAGGGGGCATTCGTACCTGTGACTTCCCCGCCACCCTAACCCA